ACGGTTTAAAATATGATTTTTCGCAGATTTATAAAAAAAAACATACTTATAAAGCTTAAAACTAAATAAATAATTTAAAATTTACTATTGATCTTTTAAATATGTGGTCTAGCCTTTATCACATAAAATTGATAAATGTCTAAAAAATAGGTTTTTGTTTACCAGGCTGACACCACAGCTATTAGTTTCAAGGAGGCATTTCATAATAGCACGTTTAAATTCGATTGCATTCTAATTCTAAGCATTATATTGTTCAAATTAATGCGAGAGGACTTTTAAGCCAAAAAGAAAACCAGATTCCTATCCATTTAATTTTTATTCCGAAACCTTATTGCTATCGCTCTTGAATCTGACTGCCTCTTACACGATTTTATTTACGCACATTTTGTGGAAAAACTTTCCGCAACATGCGGCTTTTGCGAGAAATGCAATGACATTGCTGCCAGGATGCCAGGCACTCACGTTCATAAATGTAATGCAATTTCGAGCTGAACTTTATTTAATTGAGTATTTCGGTGTTAAGGTTGTCCCAGGCACACAATCTCAAAACTCCCTCGCGAACACAGAGATTCCGACATGTCACTTTTATGAGAATAGTTGGAGCTTTGCCGAACTTCGGAGTTTCATTTCCAACAGCTAGCTTTGCGGCTTTACCGCATTTTGTGTGGAGTGGTTTGCTCGACTTTGTTCGGTATTAATCTTTATGCGGGTGATTCTATTCCTCCAATTGGATCTTCCATTACATATTATTTCAATTGGTATGCCGTTGGAGTAAACTGCAGGCGGATTGCAAGTGCATCAGAGTGTAATGTGGGTCATAAATAGTCGGAGCAACTTGCGGCAGGGCAATAAAAAATGCTCAACAATAAATAAGAAACAAAAAGCGTTGCATACTCTCAGGCGCTTACAAGGGTTTATAATGCCCTACAAGGCATTATCCTCACATGTTTCTTCGTGTGTTTGTGTGCAGTGGAGCGTCGTTTTATTTATGCTCATAATGCTGCGCAATGAATAATTATGCAAATGGAGCGGCTTATGGTCAAGCCCATGTTGCCCTGGCCTTGTAAGCTAACAAATTGCAAGATTCTCCACAATTTACTGGGCTCTCGGGGAGAAAAAAACTTGTCATTCTATAGGAAGAAAAAGGGAAATTCTTCAGTGGTGTGAAGTACACCCAACCCTTTTTAAATGCCTATGAGGTTTTTTTTTATTTTTCATCTTCTTGGATAGTTAATATAATATTGATTTCTTTATAAGTTCATCCTCTTTTATTTTTTTTAAATAATAAACAAATAATAAAAGTTTGTGTTCTTACTGATTTTCTCACCTGATTTTTGGAAGTATTATTATGATATATTAACATATTTATTTAATAGCGCGATTTTTTCACTATTTTCCTCTCATTTAAAATGGCATTAGATAAGAAGAAATGTGATAGCTAAACCGTTTTTTAAATGTTCTATGTTTAAACTACAACTCAGTTTATAACTAAAGTCATTTTTTTCTATCCCATTTATTTTTTACTTTATCCTGGCAAAATTCTCAAACGTCAGCGGCAAGAAAAATAATTATCCAGTGCGGCAAAAATGCAAAACGCAAAGAAAAAGTTCGACTTTCTCGCGCCTGGTAAACTTTTGTTGTTTCCCTTGAGAGGGAAAGTCTCCCGGATTCTTCCCCTCTCGGCTATTTTCCACCAACCAAGTTTGAGCTTATAAAACTTAGCCAAAAGTCTGGCCGGATCAAAGCTTAATCGCTGGCCGCTTTATAAATCAAATCTGGGAATCAAAACAGAAAGTTTTCCCTGGACAACAAGTCGTAAGATTTCAAATATGTATTTGAGCTGCATAATATTTATTATCTCACAGCTGTTGACTTGCGAATAAATCAATATCGAATTAACTGCTTAGGCGGACCGAAAAACTTTTGCCTAAATACCCCCAAAGCACATAAATAACGAGAATGTCAAAAACTTTTGGCCCCTCAGCTGCTCCCGATTTCCCGGAGGTTTTTGTTTTTCCGGCGTCAAGTGGACCGGACAACAAGCGAGCGAGATTTTCCAGCCAGTGCCTGTCACCAGCACTTCCTCGCCATATTTTTCCCGATCCCCTCTCGATTAACTTGAGACGTTTGCAGTGTACTCTTCTGAAATTAATTAAATAAATCCATCCCCTCAGTTGATTAATGGAAATTTGTTTGCTGCATGCGAGTTTTAATTGAAAAACCGCAGTCGATTAGTTGGCTTGGATGCTTGAGACTTTATTGACGTGCCTGGAACTTAAGCCAAAAGCCATCCTTTGGCTTCAGACCATGGCCTCTTATATCATCTAACAAATCGCGAGATGTTTTTTCGGACGGCAATAGTTTGAAGTTAAGAACCAATTGGTAGACAATCGACTTGATCTCCATGAGTGCCATGCGATTGCCAATGCAGTTGCGAGGACCCACTCCGAAGGGCAGGAACACACGGGACTCAACCTTCTGGTCCTCTGCAAATCGCTCCGGATCGAAGGACTCTGGATCCTCATAGTTGTCGGGATCCCGGTGCAGAGCGAATATGGGTATTTGCAGGACATCACCTTTTCGGGCGGAGAACATCTTCTCACCATTTTCATCGAGCAAATCAATATCCTTGCTGCACTCGCGATCTGTTGAAATAGCTGGTGGCCATTTCCGCAGACTTTCTAGTACCACCATGTCCAAATACTTCATCTTGGTCAGTTTTTCATAGGTCAAGGGTTGCCCATTCAGCTCTTGGTGTACGGAAAGAATCTCCTCATATAACTTGTCCTGCACCGCGGAGTTCAGGCAAAGCTCATGGGTGAGAAAGCACAAGGACGAGCTGATAATCTCGAAGCCTGCGAAAAAGAACAGCAGGCACTGGGCCAACAGGTCCTCATCGGTGAACTCCGGATAGTACTGGGCATCCTTCGACTGATTCCTTAGATCCGCGAGCCTTTGCTGCTTGGCCTCCAAGAGCAGGTGAATCATATCTGGTCTAATCACGTTGTGCTCCTGCCGATACTTCATCGTCACATGAACCAGGCGACTGAAGTAATCTATTTTTTCGGTGTCCATCACCTGGATGCGAAGGACCTGTAGGAGACAGAAGAAAAATAGAATTTGTATACGTACATTGTGCACATTAATGTTTGTAAAAATATATGTTTAAATGTATGTTCATTAATCAAATTAATTTGATTAATGATTAATGATTAATTCTTATGCAACCCATTTCAGAAATAAATAACCTTTTTCACGTTATAAAAATAATCCACTTAAAGCCTTAACCTTTTTCGCGTTATAAAAACCTCCCATTTAAAGTGAGATGATTCTGTATTTTTTTCCCACAGTACAAAAATAAGCATCGAAAGCTGATTATAAATGTCTGTGTCACCTGGACAAAAGGTACCTTCATTAGCCGAGGGAAGAGAGCATGGAGCACGGCCTTGGCCACCGACCAGGCGCTAATCTTGGACAGGGACTGTCCGATCCGAAGGAACTCGTTATCTTTGCGCCTGAACGAGTTGATGCTGAGGCCAAAGGCCACGGTAGCTATCACATCGTTGGCGAACCGCGTAAAGTAATCCTTCACTTCCAGGTCGATGGCCGCGTCCTTCGACAGCTCCAAAAGCTCCAAGATGTGGCTGACACCCTCCTCGCTGCAGGATTGGATCAGGTTGTACATTATGCGCATTTTGCTCCCTGTAAAGGCAGGTGTCAGGATATTGCGCATCTCCCTCCACCGACCATCTCGCAGGGAAATAAGGCTTTTCGACAATATCGACTCCTGCATATTGTTGTGCATGCCGTGGTGGTTTGCAAAGTGATCGAATTCCCTGATTCCAACTAGCTTGATGAGCTCAGGGTCTCGGATGAAGAACACGGGATCTCTCAGGGCGTAGATGCCGTACACCGGCGAGCCGGAATACTTTAAATTCATCTCGACCATTTGCTTAAGAACGGGTATGCCACCAAACATGCCTTTGATGGGTATATTACCAATCAAGGGCCAGGGCTTTTCGTGGGCCACGCCCCTTTCACTGAATGTATCATATTTGGCCACCGACCACTTATAGAGCAAAACGATAAGTATAGAAAGCAAAGCGAGCGCTATTATCCACTGATCCATGATGTCATGTATGTATTTTCTTAATTGAACCACAAAAGTCGACAGCTGGAAAACAACTGATTTCATATAGAATGTTACCCTCCAAAAAAGCTATCAAAAGCTTTTTATTAAAGCTGTTTCTGTCTTTATCAAGTGATCACTTTGAGTTGTTTTTTACTAACTTAAATCGATATGCCTTATCTATTTGTAAATATAATTTAGTTGATAGGCTAATTAGACTATCGTTATTTTATGTACAAAGTGCAGCCGAATTATCAGCAAAATACATTAGACAAATTGCCAATCGGAGTCGGCATTCAAATTTATTTAATGAAAAATAAATTGAAGTGCTATAAGCAGGATAAACGGCATCCACTTCGCCTCCTTCCCCCGCCCATAATTCAAAAGGAAATCAATATGTGGCCAATGAAATGCAGCTTATAAATTCTACCATTCAATGGCAAAAATATTGCAAAATCATCGGCAATTTAGGCAGAAATTGCACCCAAATGAGACCAGCTGGGAGTCTATGCCGGACGTGGCCTTCACAAAAAAGATTTTTATAAAATGATTGTTGATTTGCTATACTCTGAAATATAAGTTATAGTAAATAATATATTTATACATGCCGAACAATAAATGAAGAAATAAAGCAATGTCTTGATTTGTTAAAGTCTTACTATTGGAAGCATATGTAAGTTCGGTATAGTTAATTAATCGGTCAAACTAATTAATATAATGATCAAAATAACCCAAAGTTAAAAACACTTTCTTAAATAAATTATCTTATTACGAATTGAATTAACTTATATGCTCCCTTAAAGGGCAATAATGAGTTCCGCCCACAAAAATTCTATAAAAGGTTTAGGCACAAGAAGGATAGCTCAGAGTTGAATAAGAAACCTAACACAAGTTAATAGCCATGTTCGAGGATATTCAGTTGATCTACATGAACATTAAGATACTTCGCTTCTGGGCCCTTCTTTATGACAAAAATATACGGCGATACGTCTGCATCGGACTGGCCTCCTTCCACATCTTCACCCAAATGGTCTACATGATGAGTACTAATGAAGGTCTAACCGGTATAATTCGAAACTCCTACATGCTCGTCCTTTGGATCAATACGGTGCTGCGCGCCTATCTTTTGCTAGCAGATCACGACAAATATGTGGCCCTAATCCAGAAATTTACCGCCGCCTACTATGATCTGTTGAATCTGAACGATCCATACATATCGAGAATTCTGGTCAATCTCAACCGGGTCGGACACTTGATGGCCAGGGGCAATTTGTTCTTTGGCATGCTTACATCCATGGGTTTCGGCCTGTATCCCTTATCCTCCAGCGAGAGAGGTGAGCTAGTCCTTAGTTTTATACGTTTAAATAGTGTGTAGATCATAAAGTTAAGTACTTTTATTTTTGTAACCCTCTTGACGGTGCTCCTTAAAAAACAATGAATATATTTATTGAATGTGCATATATCGTATTATGAATATATTTAAGAATATCAAAACATTTATGTCCATACATTGTTTCAGTCCTTCCCTTTGGTAGTAGGATCCCTGGCCTGAATGAGTACGAGTCGCCGTACTATGAGATGTGGTACGTCTTTCAGATGCTTATCACGCCGATGGGTTGCTGCATGTACATACCGTATACGAGTCTGATTGTGGGACTGATTATGTTCGGGATAGTGCGGTGCAAGGCACTGCAGCACCGCCTCCACCAGGTGGCCACATTGCATCCGTTCGGAGACCGCGATCCGCGACAGTTGAGAGAGGAGATTATAGCCTGCATTCAATACCAGCAGAGCATCATCGAGTATATGGATCGTATCAACGAGTTGACCACAATGATGTTCCTCTTCGAGCTGATGGCTTTCTCAGCCCTACTGTGTGCCCTCCTCTTTATGCTGATCATTGTAAGTGTGTATCCATAAAGGGAACATCATGCATTTTCAATTTTCGCAGGTCAGCGGCACTAGTCAACTGATTATTGTCTGCATGTACATAAACATGATTCTGGCCCAAATACTGGCCATCTACTGGTACGCGAACGAGCTGAAGGAACAGAATTTGGCAGTAGCCACCGCAGCCTATGCGACTGAGTGGTACACCTTCGATGTTCCTTTGCGCAAGAACATCCTCTTCATGATGATGAGGGCTCAGCGACCAGCTGCAGTGAGTCCCATTTATAAACCTCAAGTTATACTATTTCAAACTGTTTTATAATATTTAAGGATGAAACATCTTTAACCATATATTTTTCAATAATTAGTAATCTCTGAAACGGTTCACATTCCCATTGACCAAAAAGATCTGACATTGTTAAAGTTTTAAAAATAGTTAAGCTGGACTTAAGCCAAACATTTATATATCTTCAAATTCTTCAGACCATAAAAAACCTAGGAATAAAACATCCTACGAAACCCAATTTAATTAATTCAGCTCTTTTTAATGTTATTAATTATTTTTCTTTCAGATACTTCTGGGCAATGTCCGACCCATTACCTTGGAGCTTTTTCAGAATCTACTCAACACAACGTATACGTTTTTTACGGTCCTCAAGCGAGTATATGGATGAACGAACCGGACCAAATTGAAATATTTTATTAAAAAGCTTAAACACGACATATGCAAAAACTCGCACGGTTCCCTTTTAGTGTTAACTCTGAACACAATCGAGCACATTTCACAATTGAATAAATCATTAAATGAAAATAAAATAAGTTTTCGTTTTTAGCTAGAAATATATAACATTTTTTCCCTTTTTTTGCTGCGCACCATTTGCGGTTGCTGCGTATTTCACGCTGCGTTTGCCATTTTTTCACTTCCGCTACAAGAGAGAAACTATAAAAAAAGGCTGAATCCAATTCGAAAAATAAAACGAAAAGGTGTGCCAAGTGCGCGATAAAAAAATTTGTTTGCTGAAGTTGTCAACGAACTTTTTTGCGTCCGCTGACTTTGACTGGCAGTCGCCTAGGTGCGAAAACAGCGATTCCGCAGGATGCAGGATGCAAGCCCGGCGGGCAGGTGCCAAAAAGGAGCGGGGAACACATTTCAATTCGACTGCCACGTTGCAGGTGAGTAGCGTCGGCGAATCAGGTTCATTATAATAATGGTGATGGAATTAAAGTGCGATTCCAGTGGCTCAACTTTGATTCTTTGTTGTCGAGCGAATAGCTTGAATAGGAAGACGCAGGGTAAAAGGAACGGAAGCACTAATAGAATAATACCCATATTTTGCCATCAAGTGGCGCTACTTTAGAATGAAAATTATAGCTGCTTTAAAGAGCATTTTACTTCATCTAAAAACCGTAAAAGGATAAAAAGGTGTCAAAAGTATGTTCAGTATGTTATTACTCTTCACTTACAGTCGTACATAATTAAAATTTATTGAATAGCTAATTCAATTAAGTGTCCCTGACTCATCATCTTCACATGAGCATTTGACCATGCTAATTTATTTATTTATTTATTTATTTAAGATGATAGAAAAGTTTACAAAACTAATACTAACATAGGAGGTGTAGTGCTAGGTACGAGGCCTTCGACTACGTATTTATTTACTTAATTTAACAATTCATTTATTTATACATATACGCATTAATATAGTTTTGTTTGAATGAGAAATGCATTTTAAGTACTTGCAAAGGAAAATCTCTCGTCTCTTTCAATATTCAGATAAATAGGTATTATCCAAGCAGTATATGAAGACATCTAAAACCACCAAAACTAAGGCATATTTCTGAACAAATTGCAAAAGGAAAGATCTGTCCGCAATAAAGTCAAAATGGCAGCACTGGTTGGAAACTCAAGGAAGTTAATTTTTTATAATAACGTTTTTTTTTAAAGGTAATTGCAAAGTGTTATTAATTGAATTAGACTGTTTGATCCAAACTAGTTAACCAATAAAATTGTATAAATATGTTATTTTAAAAATCCGCATTAAATCTCATTTCAGCAAAACAAAAAAAGCTAAAATATATATTTTTTAATCCACCTATGTATTCATGGAGTAATCACATAGGGGTGGATGGTGCCAGCTAAATAATTACTCTTGTGTACAAAATAAATTTGTTTGTTCAAGAAACCTAATATACGGTAAATTTTATAGAACATTTGTATATATTAATTAACCGCCCAATATAAAAAACAAATATATCAATTGAATCCTTTCCTTTTTATTATAATAAGTAATTGGCTGTGGAACTGCAGGACCTGCCACCTCAGAAGAGGCCCGGCAGGTTGGAGGAGTCGTAGATCTCGTTGACGGAGCACAGGTTGATAAAGACCGGATTGCGTCCGCTGCGGCAGTCGGTGGCCGCGCGATCGCCGCTCTGGTAGACGGGGGCATTGACATCGTCCGCCCGGACAAAGTTGCAGGTCATGTACTGGTGGACGCTGGGCAGCCACTGGCCCGCCTCGTTGGTGGTGTTCTTGGTCTGTCGGAGGATGCCGCATCCCACGTGCGTGGTGCTGTCCCGGACGAGCTGTGTGAAGTAGGCTATGCACTTGCTGACGCGCAAGCGGAGGATTCTGGTCAGGTAAGCGCTACTCAATCACCGAAGGGAATCCCCACGGGATGTCCACCTACCTGTTGCTGGGCGGACTATAGGCGATGATATCACGCATGCTGCACTCCTTGTACTCGGCGAACATCTGCTCCAGCGTGGCCTTGATCACCTCGTCCTCGGTGTGGTATTCGACGGGCACTGGGGTCTCTGGATTGGGGCTGCCATTGGGGGGACTTCCCGGGGGCAGGGGATCTCCCTGCCAACCGCCCTCGGCCACCACCTGAGCCACGTTCCGGAACTGCTCGCTATTCCGGCAGTGGTCGTTGACCAGGGCACACCGCTTCACGTTGAGCTCGGCGAAGCTGGCCAGTTCCTGATCCCACTGTAAGGTGGCCATCCGGGTGGCCGGACTGAAACCCATGAGATCGCCCCTGGCGATCCGATCGCGGTACTCGTTCAGCTCGTTGAGGATCATGGTGCGACGGGCCGTCGTGATCCGCACCACATGGGCATCCGGACCGCAGGTGTCGCCCAGCTCCTGAAAGGATCAGCCGTCAGCGGGGCCTTCTATAACCATAAGATCCCTCTTACCCCGAAGTTGTTGCAGGCTATATGTCTCTCGGGTCCTGGACACAAGGTCGGATCGCAGTAGTCGAAGGCGTGAAGCTGCTGGCCCAGGAGCGTCAGCAGCAGCAGCAGCGGCGGCCACACGGTGTCCAACATCTCGACGAGGCAGCCAGTTTAGCCAGCTCCGGCCACCCGAGGCTGCCTCTTATAGAGTTCGAGGCCGCCAAATCGATTTGTGGCCAAGCGAAGCTATCAATCGCACCTATTTACTATTTATTTACTGACCCCCACTCAATTTACCAATTGGTTACGCCTACAATTTGACGCACTTTGGTACACAGAAAAATAAATCGATGTTTTGTATAATTTTGGTCCAGTTTACATGATATCCATGGAGCATTAGTCAAAAGACAATCCTATAAAATTGCAAAATAATAAGATTTTTATAATACTATCTGTTTTTGATGTGCCAAAGAAGTGGTTTCGTATTCTTTTGACTTTATTAACTTATATAGTTATCTATTTGACATGCGAATATTGAATTTATTTCCTTCTTTTTTATCTGTGTAGCTTTATGTGTTACTCTTCTGCATTTTGGCGCTAAGGGGCATCTTGGTTTGCACCACCATGCTGTTGGCATCGACGGTCTCCTCCTCGTTGCACAGGAACTGGTACAGTTGGCTCGATCCGGTGACGCACTTCTCGCCAGGATGCTGACCCACCTCGTACGGCTGAAGGTTGTTTACGTTGGCCCGCGAGAAGTGGCAGATCAGGATCACGTTCGACTTGGTTTCTGTCCTGGTCTTTAGCCGGATGCCGCAGCCCATCCGGGCACCACGGTCTTGAATCAGGGGTACGTAGTGGCCCACGCAGGAGCTGTAATGAAAAGTATTTATTTATTATTATTTTTAATGTATAATAAACTCAATGTCTAAAATAATTTAACTTATCAACCATTTTTTTTTTTTAAGATTTGTTTTGTCTATATTTTGTGCCTTTTTTAACCAATATTTGTTCTAACTACTTACCCCTCCTTACTGGGCAAAATTCTTTTGTTTTCGTCCATCCGGCAACCCATGACATCCAAGAACAGCTCCGGCAGCATTCTGTCATAGATCTGATGTTCCAAGCTGTTTCTCCGCCCCATCGTGCTCCGAATTTCGGTGGTGGCCACATAGTGATATTCCGCAGTGTTGGCGCAGTACTTTCCCAACTCGTTGCACTGGCGCACCTGGCGATCGGCCAGCCGCTGCAGATTGTAGTCCCATAATATGGTCGGCATGCGAGCGGCCACCGAAAAGTTGCCCGCTCCACTGGCCACATAGTTACGCAGCAGGTTGATCCTGTGAAGAATGCCGTACTTCAAGCCGCCGTTTACATGCAGAATGATGTTGCCCTTCTTGCACAAACTGGCTAATGTCTATAAAAGCCTTTTTAAAATGCAACTGAAAGGTTGAGACTTGGAGCTCCTACCTTGCGGCCAAAGCAGCCCACGTGGACCTCGGAGTCCATGCAGAGATCGGGCCTACATAGGGTGTTGTTCCGCGAAAACAGGGATACGGCTGGCGTTATCAAGAACAGGCATAGATACCACATCCGCATGTCGACCAGTCAGCGTGGCAGTAACACTTAAATTCACGGGTTAATTTAACTTAAGACCTAAGTTTATTAGACTCCGCATGACCAACTTAATTAAGCTCGCCTAATTGTAGGGCATTGGGATTGACATGCTCCTCGGGCGAACAGAGCCCTTGATATATGGAGTGGGTTCCCGCATAGCAGCGACTTCCCGGGTGCGCACTCTCGCGGTAGACAAGCTCATTGGCGATCTTCCCGCGGGAAAAATGGCAAAGGACTCCGTACTGATAGAGTCCGCTGGTTTGGCTCCTTCGCATCATCATGGCACAGCCGACGTGGGCAGCCAGGTCTTGGACCAGTTGGGTGAAGTAGCCGCGACAGTGCCTGAAATCAAATTCGGATAACTATTCACCACATGGAACTAACGTCCTCACCTGTCCTTGGGGGGTTTCTCGGCATTAATGTGGGCCATCGTGCAGGTCTTGATATCATCCATCCAAAATTGCAGCACAAATTCCATAATGGATTTCGGGGTTTTCTCCTGGTGCAACCACTTGGTACTACCGTAGATATAGGACACATATCTGAACTCATCCGTGTTGCTGCAGTAATCGTCCATATTCTCACAACGACGCAAGGCAAACTTGGCCAATCCGGCCAGTTCCTCGTGCCAACGAAGAGTCGCCATCCGGGCAGCCGGACTGAAGGATGGATACTGTCCCAGAGCCACTGTATTACGGAAGTCATTCAGAACGGCCAGTAGATGGGCACGCAAATGCATGGGAAACTTCATGATGATCGCTCCACTGCCACAGGTCTCATCAAAGTCCTGAAAATGTATGTAACTTACTATCAATCTACCTATGCAGATAACATCCTCAACTCACCCCGTAATTATGACAAGCGATATGCGTTATCTCCGGTTGGCACAGATCCTTGTCGCAGTAATCCGTGGATAACACCTCTTGGGTGATAAAAACTATTAAAAGGGTCGGTACAAGGAGCAACATTTGGTGGCGGTTGGTGTAGTGAAAATAAAAATGGGAAATCTTGAACCTGTACCTTGAAAAATCAATTTGAAATGCTTGAAAACAGCATGGAAATTTCACTGTTTTGTTTCCTACATGAAACAAATCCAGTTTAAGCCTCTAGGCAATAGGTTGTGTTCGATTTGCATGGTCTATTAGTAGTCCAGAATGAGAAGTGCTCAACGTTACCAGTTCCCCAATTTTTTTAATCACTGTTTTGGTGGCATGAAATAAATCCCATCAAATGAATAATCAAAGGCAAAAACGCAGGACGAATAATCGATTCGGCTAAGGGTGAACCAAGTAAAAAATACATAATCCGACATACACAAATCAAAAATGATACACAAAAGCTCTCGATTGCAACAATGCCAATTTAAACCCACTAGTAATCTTTAGAAACACATTTAACCACTGCACTTTCATTGGCAACAACATTCGATTTCATGGAATAATTGAAAACATGTTTGCATTTCTGGTTTTTGTGGAAGTGCACATCGAAAAAACAGGCTTGTATTTGACGTGCACTTCGCTAGTTTATTACAATTAACACTTCATGTAGTTCAGTTTTGTTTTCTTTTTGGGGTTCCTTAACATAGGTGTATAAATTAAATTTAGGTTGCACTTAAGTTATATGTTCATTTTACATACATACATCACAAGCAATACAAAAATGGCTCGTTGTGCGATCGCTTTTGCTTTGGTTTTTTCCCCCCGGCCGCTTGGAAATATATCGCTGACTATTTGGAGTTCATTTGGGTAATACATATAAGGAGGAATCGAAACGAATGTGTTCAGCAGTGTATAAAAGCTATGTCGAGGCGGAAGAGGGTCTCCTCCAAATAAGTGTCATTTTCAGTTCGCAGTTAGCAATCACTGCCCAAAGTTGGGGTTGTAGGGAGCCTGCTTCTCATAGCCGGAGGGCATGACACTGGGTCCCGGATTAGCCATGGCCATGTCGTAGGGCGGAGGATTCATGCTGGCAGCCCCGGCGCCGGGATACTGAGGATAGGCCACGCCATGCGTTTGCATGCTGTGTGAAAGATATTAATTATTATTTGCTTTTTGCAGAGGCTTTCGATTCAACTTACCCGGGCATCGGCATCGGCATTTGCTGTTGGTTATGGGGTGGGTGCATGGGCATCTGCACGGTCACGTTGCTGCGGGGAAAAGAGAGCCGTTAGAGGAGTTTCCGGGCCCATTTTAAATCCGCACTTACCCGGTGGTCTGGGCGGGATATCCAACGGGAGCTACGTAGGCGTTGCCCGCCGGATAGCCCGGCGGAGGCAACTGTGTGACCGGATATCCGCCGGGAGCCGTGTGCGTGGCGGAGGTCACCACCACGGGCGCTGCAAAGAGTAAAGGCAGAACAAGAAAATTAGAAACGGAAAAGAGCTGTGCCAATAGTTCTGAGTCATCGTCGACCACTCGAATCGCAGATCCGATAAGCTCCCGTTTTTGATTAAACTCATCAGTACGAAAAAGTTCCCCATTCGGTACGCTTTAACACTCAACAAAATTTAAAATTTTCTAGAATAGTATTTTTTAAAAATTTGGACTCTTGATAAAAAAGGGGTACGAAATAATTGTTCCTGGTCTTATATTTCCTTAAGGCAATTGACCATGCAATTATAAACATAAATAAGTTGAAATCTAATGAAACTATGACATCATTAATTTTCCCTTTTCCTTTTTTCAGTGTTTTATTTATTGTTTATGGGTAGTTCATTAATTTTAATCTTATCAACTTGATCGACAACTTTATTTATAACAACGGCTAATAACAAAACTATGTTATATTTATACATTTAAGTACTATAAGTACTAGACTTTTGAATAATAAAATGAAAAAATGAAAGTTCAAATTAACTGCTGTTTTCCTAAATTCTGTCGTTTTGCCAATTGTTCAGTCAACGTATTTACCACCGCCCTCGCTGATTGTGTAGCCAACATTTCGTGCTGCCTTCTGCTTGCGCCTTATGCAAACCACAATAGAGGTAACGAAAAATATGGTGAAAGCTAAAGATAATCCGAACCAGAATGCCCACATTTTCGATGATTTGACGGGTTAAACTGGAAAAACACAAACGCCTTCCAGACGAACACAGAACAGACTGCAAAGCTCTCATCAAAGAGACCCACTCATTCGGCCCATGTCTAATCAATGGCCGATTATATGGCCAATGCGATAAGCGGGTGGTGACACAGCCAAACAACACACATGTTTTTCCGGACTCTCATTCTAGTTTGTTTATCACTTGTATTGGCAATACACAACAGCTTCAATATTACATAAGTCAAAACACTATCCTTAGTTACTTATTTACCCATTGATCTGAACTTCTTGGCTATACAAAAGAAACATAGGCACATTAATGACGAAATCACTAAGAAGACTGAGAATGCAATGATGGGAATAATATACGGCTCCATCGCGAATATTATTTTATTCGAATTAAGCAGGTGCTACACCAGTGAGTTCACGATACCAACTGAATATGATATGTTGGTTATTTGTTCATGACAGCTATTGGAAACCAACGGGCGGCGTTATCGCCTCAAAAGGGAGATCCCCGAAAACACACCTGCACCCTTCGTAAGTGCCGCTCTTTGAGTTCGTCCACGGGTCAAAAATACCGCCGCGGATGTCATGAAGAATACGGAGAGGGTAAAGAAAAGTATCCAGTAGATGCCCGAATCATCCATGATTTTGATACTGACTGAGTAAGCGGCGCACAAAGACTAAACAAAAGCGAAGAACTAAAGCCTCCGGATCGGCAATCGAAAATGTGCCCGTAATGCCCAAAGAAAAGGGCAATCGCACTCATAAAGATAGCACTTATCAGTGATAACAGCACTTCTAACCATTATCATAACTTACTTTAATCGCCGAGAGTTTGCTGACGCTTCCAATATAGTGCAACTAAACCGATTAACCCCAAGAAGAATATTTTGTAGGTTATGCGAAAAACAGACATGTGGACTATATAACTTTCCCGGAATTCCATAAGGTAACTGATATATGTTTCGTTATACATATCGAAAATATCTTTATTAATGGTTTAGAAAAACAAAATCTTCCAAGTCACGGGCAATAATTAATGCATATATAACAGCTAAGGCAACCAAAACCGCTAGGATTTCCGCCTCGAATGCCAGAAATGTCCAGTTAAATTGAAGTCGCTTGGAAATATCCTCAAACACATCCAAAATGGTGGCATTCATGATGAAAGTCAGCGACCTAACTAAATGGGTTCCATAATCATTTTCTGAATAACCCAGCAATTCTGGGCATACGTCAACACATTAACTTTTTATGTGACCATTATTCACTAATATCTATTTATTTGCATTTAGAAGTAAACCCACCACTTTGACACACAATAGGAAATGTGATCCAAAATTGCAGGGAGTAACAGTCAGTCCTATCAGTATATCAAGTATAATAAAAACCACCAGTCATTACCCACTTCATAACAAGTCCTAAATCTAATAATACAAAGATAGGCGGGCAGTTTCATCACAGGGGTTCCTCAAGTACTCTGAGTTTTACAACTCAAGGAATTGGATAAGGGGTCGTTTTAGGAATATTATCCAATTATATTATTGTGTTATTATTGCACTTCATAGAAAAAATAAATACATTTCTGTTACTGCTGACTTTTTTACATTCTTTGAGATTATGACTACTCATACAAAAGACTTCAAATGTAGTTGATAACTGAAATCACGTCGTATACAATCTAATATTTCTGTTAGACAATGACTTGAAAAATTCACCAATAAATAAAATTGACTTTGCAGATAGGAAGCACCAATATTATATAGTGGGCAATACCCATAATCGTATAATATTCATTTTACAAGATCGAAATTTGAAAGAGACCGCAAAATCTCTGAATGACGACATCGAAAGCTTGCTTGAACTAAAAAAACCAGTTCGCAAGAGTTTAGGTGCTATAATCGCTATAATGTGGGCAAACTTTTCCCGTTTAGAATTACCATTATTTACATGAAGAAAATACACAAGATTGTAAATGGTGACTCAAAGGGGATTATACTTTTGGATTGCCCAGAATGGTATGACTAAATCTGTTGTTAAGCTGGAAACTAAATTGTATATGAAGGCTCGTCCGTTTTAAACATACTTTTTTCAGTTGTAAACTAATAGAATAACTTAAATGCTTCCTTTTTAATCTCCTTCTGCTTTTTAAAGCAAGATTATACACATAAGCGAAAAAAATAATACAGCAATTGTAACAATAAGCACCATTGCAAAAACTATCTTTATGAAACTTAACTATTATATTCCCGATACACAGCTAACCAATTTAACTTGATAAATTTTCAATAAATATTGGGTCGAATAGCTTTGCTGAAATGCGTTTTATTTGCCTCGCAATTCAAATTGCACCTACAAACCTCAGACCTCATGGACTTACTTTTAACAAAATAATGTGGCTTTCACGGTTCTCCCCTTTAAAAAGATCATAACCAATAATCAGTGTCTAGAATGATGAACAGATTAATATGTAAAAAATTGTAGGGCATTTCTATTGGCACGGTTCCCAGCCGACTGGGGACTTAAAATTAGACTACTTTTGAAAATGGCGTACTACATTTAAAAGAAATAATTTGCTGTTAAGAAGATGTTAGTTGTAAGGTGTTGGTGATTTTTTTCACAGAAATAAAAATGCAAATGCCGTACAGAATAACACGTAACACAATACAAGCCAAAATATTAAATTAATAAATAAAACTGTTTGAACTGCGTATTTCTTACTTACAAAAGAACTTGTATATTCTTAACACGGAACAAATCATACAACATTGAGAATAATACAAGCAAATAGAGCTTTAGTTATAAAATAATGATAAGTAGATACAAAAATTACTAACCACTTATAACTTTAATTTTTTGTCCTTTTTTTATTTTTTTGAATATATAAAAGGCCCCAACGCATAGAATAATGATAAACACAGCCAACAATATGATCATATCAATGTCTAACTCATTGGAACTTAATTTTGGCACATTCATATAAAGAAAATTCATGATTACTCTGCAAACGTTACAAACTAACTAAAAGATGTATCGGAACTAAAATTGTTTTTGTTTGGCAGATGCAAAACTGAGAAACTTTCGTTTACCTTACAGATTAGATAAAAATTTGTCTAATTAACCCATACCTTTCTTACAACTTTTACAGCAATATTTCCAGCAGCACATACAGAGAATCCAAAGAATGGCGATTACAATGATGATAACTCGGTAAAAGCTTACTGGAAACTTTTCTTTAAACGACTCATTATTATCGTAGGGATACGACATTATGTAGATCTAGCAAACACGATTGACAGCAACGAACCGAGCAAGTGAACTGATCG